ACACCATTGCTGCAACGCAAGACAGAGTTAAGTGGAGGTCCATGATCGCCCACGCCAGTCGGCAAGGCACCGGATGATGATGATGATCTTGAGCCAGTACTCACTGCTGTCAATACTCCTGCAGTTGGAGGCGGAGAAGCAAAGCCCGGAGGAGATGTCACTGTTGTGGTCCACTGGTGCGGTGGACCCGGTTGCCATGGCAACGGTGTAGCCGGAGATGGCCCCGTTGGGCACCTGGGTCGTGTCAGCGACCAGTCCGGCGACCTCCGCGCTGCTCAGAGCGTTGTCCGAGATGTACACTCGGCTCACCCGTCCAGTCATGCCTCCCGATTGGTCCACTCGGCCGGAGGCGGAGTCGTAAACCCCGCCCAGTACCAGCCAGCCACTGAGGGAGGAAGATAGAGAGAGAGAGGCTGTCAAAACCACTGCTTGCCAAAACGGTCGTTATAACCACTAGTACAAGAAGACAATTAGGAAAGTTTGGCAGGCGGTGAGAATCATCTGCGTAGTGACACACACACACACACACACACACACACATATGCACACGCACACACACACATACACACACATAGACACGCACATACACACACACATACACAGATCCAACTGACAAAATGAGTTACTTCTCGGATTGCTGCCTGATTAACTTGGATAAATATGTCATATTTATAGGTTGAGTTTGTTCCATCTATATGTTTGAAATGATAAAAAATAGCTTGTTAAACTTTAGAAAAATGGCGTCAATTGTAAATCTATATAATATGTGACCCCTGTGTCGATTTTTTGTCGACATCTCCCTCTGTGGATTACGAGAAGTAACTTATTTAGTCAGCTCGCCTCACTAATTATTCTCCCATATGCATACACTCGTGCACACAGTTGTACTCCCATTCATGTACATACACATGCACACACACACACACACACACACACACACATACAGACAAATAAACACACAACTCCTTATAAGGGGTTGACGGTCTGGTTGGTTCTGTGCTCATACACACACAAAAACACACATATACAAACATGCACACAAACATACATGCACACATAAATATTCACACACAAAAACAAAGACATGCACTTCGCCTTACTTGGGTCTGACGAACTGCTGGGTTCTGTATATGTTCACACACACACACACACACACACACACACACACACACACACACACACACACAAACACGCACAAACAGACACACACAAGCACATACCCGCACATACACGCACACACACTCACACACACACACACATAAACACATAAACACACAAACACACTAACACACACACACACACAAACACACACATTTGTAAACACACAAACACATACAATCCCACACAAACACACAAACTACTCCTTACTAAGGCCTGACAGACTGCTGGGTCCCATAAGTGACGCTGTTGGCCTGCTGCCCATCTATATACACCGTTGCAGCGCCCTGGTTCGAATCCCAAGTCAAGACCACGTGATGCCAGAAGCCGTCAGTGACGTCAGCGTTGTAGGTGAGGTCAGTCGGGAAGCTGCCGAACTCCAGGACGGCGCGGTCACTCTCGAGGCGCAGGATTTCTTGTGGGTTAGAGAAGTCGTCTGCGGAACTGGGAAAAAAAAAGGAGGGGGTAGAATAATTATTACAGCCCTTGGGTTCGCTTGGTTTTGTGTGTGTAAAGAGACGTATATTAGCACATTGATATAACACCTGCTTTTTCATGCTTGGGCAAAACAAAACAGACAGACAAGTGCTGGCGCTTAAATGACCAAAACTGTGTCGATAGTGCCGTAAAACATCTACCCAATCAATCAAAATCAGACAAGTGCAGGATTTCTTGAGGGTTAGAGAAGTCCTCCGCGGAAATGGGGAAAAAGGGGGGTGGGGGTGGGGGTGGAATTAGAGCCCTTGAGTTTGCTTTTTTGTTTGTGTAAAGATTTTCAGGGTGCTCTCGTGGCCTAGAGGTTAAGGTGTTAGCCTCTCATTCAATGGTCCCGGGTTCGAATCCGGGTAGTGACCGAAAAAATTTCTTCTCTAAATTTGTCTCCTTTCACTTCCTTTCCTGCTCTCTAACAATGTTCTGTCGTCTGCTTTCGTCTCCTCTCTCTGCCCCCACTCCTTCATCTCCTTTGCCCCCCTCCTCTGGGCTCCTGATTCTTTCTACAGCCTTTCTACTGCTACTCCTTGGCTTCTTCTTAATGCTGTCTTTCAGCCACACCCCTGATCTTCTGGTAGGAAAGATCTACA